ACGAGCCCTTCCTTGGCCTACATTCTTTGAACATGGCAATTTCATTAGCCAGAAAGCAAATGAGATGCCACATATAGTGGTTGAAAAACAAAACCTAAGTCTTCTATAGCTGGTGGTGGAGTCCTGTGGACCTTCCCATCCCACCAGAGCTAAGTGTCCTCCTGCCATTCGTGGCTGTTTGGAAACTCCCACTGGAAGGCATTCTCAACCTCCCTGTATGGGGTAACATAGTAGCTTTCCATGTTCCTCAGTACAGCATAAACTAACTTTGTACGTGTCTACTTTTGTAGTTGCCATGTGGTTGCTGTGTAGATGCTATGCAGTTGCTGTGTAGATGTCCTGTAGAAGCTGTATATACACTGGGTAGATGCTGTATAGACATTGTGTAGATGCTATGCAGAGGCTGTGTGGATGCCATGCAATCTCTGGGCAGTTGCTGTGTGGATTCCATGTCAATGCTATGTAGACACTGTGTAGATGCCATGTGGATGCTGTATAGTTACTGTGTAGATGCCATGTAGATGCTGTTCATTGTTCTTCAGTTGCTGTGTAGATGCCCTGCAGACACTATGGAGATGCTGTGTAGATGCTGTGCTGATGCTGTGTAGTTGCTGTGTAGATGCTGTGTAGTTGATGCTTTCTATTAAGCAGTTGAGAAATAACAGCAGAGCAGCTGACGAACCCTGCCTTTGTATCTCCTACCTTCAAAGTGTCCAATGACTAGGACACATTCTAACAGTGATGGCAAAGAAAAGTGAAGGAAAGTAGAGAGTCAAGAGTGAAACAGGGGAGGCTTTTCTCTCCTAACTTTCCACAAAGACTTCTGAGCTCAGAAAGGTAAAGGAAGGAAGCAATGACTCTCTGGTAGATGAACCGTCTAACCACAGGACTGAAAATGCACATCTGGACTCAGATTTCAACACAGGTTGAAAAGACAGAGTGACGATTCCAAGGTCTGGAGAAAGCAGGAGATGAGAAGGAGGCAATGTGAGGCGCTAAATGCTAACATGCATCTTACAGACCAGGATAAGCAAACAGCTTTTATTCTAATTACACAGAGACGCAAGCTGTGGGGATGGGAATTAACCAAGAGAATGGTATGACAAAAATTTGAGTTCTACAGAACTGTTCTTGCTTCTGTGTGGAGCAGAGGTATAGGGAGGAAGCTGGAGAAGGGACAACACATGTCCCAGTATGCAAGATTTCAAGTGGAATACCTCATAGGCATCCCCATTAAAAAAAGAATAAAGCCAGGCCAGAGGTGGTGGCACATGCCTGTAATTATAGCACTCAGGAGGCGGAGACAGGAAGGAACTCAAGGCCAGCCCCAGCTACACAGCAAGTTAGAGGCCAGCTCAGGGTACATGAAACTCTGCCTCAAAACAAAACAAAGAGTGTCAGACTCATAGGAAGTCAGAAAAGCGTACAAATCAATATGTTTTAACTCCTCTGTGATTTAAGAGCAACTGCCTAAGCCAACAATTTATAAAACTATAAAATTTAGTTCATTATAAATCCCAGGAAAATCGCTAAGATGTTAACTCAGAAATATGGCAGAAGAAATGACAAAAAGAACTATAATATTCATGAATAATGCCTGTTTATTACAGAAGAGATCAAATGGCAAAGCAGACTAATTTTAAAGATGTGTGACCCAGCAACTGTAACTCCCGTTTATCTGCAGTTTCAGTCTCCTTGCTTATAGTCATCTACCGTTAAACACTGTCCAAAGATATTAATTGAAAAGTTCCAGAAATAAACCACTTTTAAGTTTTAAATACCTAACTTTTAAATTACAATGCTGTTGGGAAGTCTCTCACCCAGGACCAGAATCCTCTGTTTGTCCAGTGTATCCACACCGTATGTGCCACCTTCCCATCAGTCACCCAGTAAACTTCTCAGTTTACCAGACTGACCATTATGTAATCTTAGTGCTCATCTTCAGGTAACAGTTACATCACTAAATCACCATCCCAAAGCACAAGAGAGATGATACTGATTTACAGACATTACAAGGAGAAGCTGTGAAGGGCTTCTTTTAAGTGGACATTCTCTACTTAATAAGGAAAGATAAACAATTTTGAGATACTGTTGTAAGTTCTATGTCAAGAACAAATCTGTGAAACTGTGGAGAACAATCAAACTGTACTAGCTTTGCTGTTACATGTCAGGCTGTAATAGCCACGGGGAGTGACAGCTATCTAGTTAATCACAACATCATGTAGGCACTGTGACATCATACATCATGAGATGTGCAAGCATGGTACAATCAGATATTTTGAGGACACCATATCCCTATAACTTACTACAGTGTCTAATTGCAGTTTTCTCTTTTATTTTCATTTAGTTTTGTTACACTCTTACTGTACCTGATCTGTAAGTTAAACTTCCCTAAGTTATCACAGTGTATGAGAGGGTTTGGTGTCAGACGTTTAATGGGTTATTAGAATGCATCTTTTGTGCATTAGCGAGTTCTGCTGTTCACAGTGCTTGTGATGAACACCCACGGTATACTTTATATGTGAAGACTTGAAAGGTTGGAAGCAAACTGGACACAGACACAATAAGTGCACACCAAGTACAACAGGAAAAGAGAGGCACGCCAGCTTCAAAAAATGACTGTAAGACAAAAAACATTAATAAAAAGCAAAGAAAGATGCTGTATGATAAGAACAAACATATATCAAGAAAATATACCACCGTAATTGTGCCTTTACTTTACTATGTCACCCCAAAATACAGGGGGCAAGATATGACTGAATTTAAAAAAATACACATTCAATAAAAGTCATTGCAGAATTAATAGCTCCCTTTTCAATAATGGATAGAAATAGGCAGAAGATTGAAGGAGCAATAAATAATTTGAACAAAAATGTAAACCAGTTAGACCTGTCCAACATCTAAGGGGAACTTATACCCACAAAACCAGAGAACATAGTGTAATTCATGATAGATCACATGTTGGTCCACAAAGGAGGCACTATTAAATTCAAGAGGATAAAATTTTAAAAAAGTATTATATGTTGATCCCATTGAAATAAAATTAGAAAACAATAATAAAATGGTAAATTTTATAATTACATGGAAAACAACATAGTTTTCAATAACCTAAGTTTCACAAGAAAATGGTTCATGGGAGAAAAATCACAATTAAAATTAGCATATACTCTAAAGAATGAATAAAAACTAAGATGTCTTTAGTCCTTCCCTTAGGAAACCAAAAGGAGTACAGAATATAGACCAGCCAAGAGAAATTAACTATGTACTTCAAAAATATCAACAAACCAACAAATAAGATTGATCCAGGGAACCAGAAAGCAAAGACTCTTAGTTTTATAAAAATAAAGAGACTGAATCTTTAGTTAAAACCAAACAAAACAAAACTTCCCAGTAAGAAAAATATTGACCCAGTTGCTCTTTGGTGGATTTCTATCAAATGTTTAAAGGTGAATGAATACTAATTCTTCACAAACACACACACACATGCGAGTACACACATACAGATGCTCACGCGCGCACACACACACACACACACACACAGTCACATATACATATATACATACATACCAAAAAGCACATGCACGCATGCACATATAAACGGATTTCAATAATAAAGAGATAAATAATTCTGATATTTTTAATGGAAAAGGGATTCAAATAGAAATATTTCCAAGGGAAAACAGACAATAGCAAATGTTGACAGTGTGGAGTCTGAGACTAGAAAGACGGCTCAGCAGTTAGGCGTGCTTACTGCTCTTGCAGAGTTTACAAGTTCCATTCCCAGAGTCCATGTCAGGTGATTCATAACTGCTTGTAACTCCAGTTCCAGGGGATCAGATGCTTCTGGCCTCTACAGGCACCTGCACTCACAGGCACATGCCACCCCCCAAAACATGAATGTAATTAAAAATAACAAAAATATTTTTTTTAATCTTTTTCAAAAAGGAATGTGGCCTTTGGAATCTTTCCTTATTTATTACAAGTATGGAAACAAAATTGTGCAGTCATTCTGGAAATAAGTTTGTAGTTTCTCAAAATGTTGAACACATTACCATATTCCTTACACTGCCCGTAGGTAGATGCCCCAGAGGACTGAAATGTACATACAAACATCTGTACGCAAACATGCAAAATAGTGTTACTCCTAATAGCAGAAAAGAAATAGTCCAAATGTCTGTCAACTGAGGAAATATGTCAAAAATGCATATTTTCTCAATGGCTGAAATTTATTCATACAAAGTATTACACAGGTTGAAACGTTCCTAGATACAAAGGTTCAACAGAAAATAGTCCCAAGGGGCTGAGAGGTGGCTTAATTGGTAAAGGCACCATCAATCAAGACCAATGTCCTGAATTCAATCCCAGAGAGCCACAGGGTAGAGAACTGACTCCTGAAAACTGTCCTCTAAACTCTCCATGGGCTCACCGAGACATGCACACCCACCCACACAAGTGTGTGTGTGTGTGTGTGTGTGTGTGTGTGTGTGTGTGTATCAGTCAAAGACTGTGTAATTCCATTCATAAGAAATGTCAGAAACTGGCAAGTGCATGCCAGCAGAAAAGTGTATTGGTGCTTTGTGAATGGGTGGAGAGCAGTTGCTACTGATTTGGGGTTTCTTTGGGGATGATGCAAATGTCCTAATGGTAAGTGTGAACATCTCTGTGAATGTGATGTTTTAAAAACACTCCATCTTACAGCTTAAAGTAGTGAAGTTTATATCTCAACATAAATTACTGCTTTCTTTTAAAAGAACATGTTGAACTAGAGAGATGGCTCAGGGGTTAAGCACACTTGCCACTCTGGCAGAGGACCCAATTTCTGTTCCTAGCACCCACATGGTGGTGGCTCACAACTGTAACTCCAGTTTCAGGGAATCCCACACCCTCTTTTGGCCTCTCTGGGCATTGCAAGCACATGGTGCACTTGCATACTTGCAGACAAAATACTCATATGCGTAAGATAAAAATAAATACATCTTTTTTAAAAAAATCAAAAGAACACATGTTAACATCTATTAGCTCATCAGTTTGTAAGTCCGGCCAGGATAGAGCTTTGATCTCCTCTCAAGATCTCCTAAGACCACAGTTAAGGTGCTGGGGGAGCTGTGTTTTGATGGCCCTTGGGATCCTCACACAGGTTCAGCCTTGTTCTTGGAGTAATGAGGTTTCTTTCAGAAAAGTAGTCTGTAATCCCTCTTTGTTTTCTTGCTGTTAGCTGGGACTGGTCCCAGGTCTAGGAGCCCCTCACAGTCCTTGACCTTTTACCCAGCTATGTCAAAATCAGCAATGGAGCACGCCCTTGTGCAAAGTCCCAGCATGCACTGGATCTCTGTATTGAAGATGACTCTTGTCTGTTCAGGCCAACCCTGGCTCTCACAGTCTCCCTTTCCTAAGGTCACCAAGCTACGTAACTCAAACTCACCATGGCAATGATACCCCACGCTGGTCACAGTTCTGTGGTCATCTGGAATGTACATTGGGGTATACTTGGATCTTATCTTTGAGTTACAGCACAGCTTTCCTTTTTACCCCTAGAATGGATGACGATCACACCAAATCTGCCACTCTTCGTTTCTTCTGCAGCTGTATTTATTTCTTTTCCTTTTCCCATCTCCTTTTTTAAAAAAGATAAGAGTCTTGATATATAACTAAGCTGCCTTAGAACTCTTGATCTCTTTCTTCCCTTGGTCTCCCAAGTGTAGGATTTACAGGTGTGTGCCACCATGCCTGGCTACAGGTGCTGTTCAACCATCACACAACCTAGCAAAAAAAACTTCAGAGTGCTATGAAAAGTACCTACAAATTGAAATTCTAAGTGTTGGATCCACAGGGCTTCCTGCTGGGGAGGGACATGTGCAGATCAGTGTACAAGACAAGCCATTTCATTTCAGTCTAAGCACAGTGCTAAATGTCCTTGACTAGAAAGGCAAGGTCCTCTGGCTGCTCTAGAAACTCTAGTCTTATTTCGTGTGTTTGTAAAGTTCACCCTGAAGAGTGCATGTACTTGTGCATGTATGATGGGAGGAACACGTGTGGGGGTGAGAAAGACTGATGAGTGACAGCAACATTGCTTTATTACCACTATTGCTTCAAGCTACTCTGCTCAAAAAATGAGAAATAACAGGAAAATCGATAGGGCATAATAAAAATCACGGCTGAAGAGAAGAAGGCCGAGTTCAGCTGTGTCTCCTGGACCCTGGCAAGCTCTTTTCTCTTGCTCTCTCTGCTCACCCACCTTCTCAGTGGGGTGGGTTGATCCACAATGTGTCCAGATTCTCAGCGCCTGCAGGAAAGGGCCTAATTGCAGCCACATGAAGTCTTGGATGGCTTGGCTTATTGACATGGCCTCCCTGTGAGAGCAGGGGCCCTGGCCAGGTGACGATAATCGACCCAGACAGCACTCACAGACACGAGAGCCTCGCAGAGGGATTGTGTTCTCTTGTCAGGATCTGAGACAAAAACTCTGGCTGGGTGACTTGCGTTTGAAGAAAAGGTCTCACCTATTCTGTAGAAATCCATAGCCTATTTCCCCACCTATAACACAGGGAGAAGAAATTCACTCCAGTTTTTGTGAGCCAAATATGAGTTGTGTGTGTTGCAAAATATTAAATACATAAGATTAAATACATTAGATTCTTTATGGACATACAAATCTAATTTTAATGAAAAACAAGTAACACTTTCCTGGATTAAGAAACAGATTTTCTGTGCTAGTCAGGACTGTATCTGGACACGTCATATAAACCCTTATACAGCCTCTTGAGTTACACTGCACTCCGTTCTTCTGCACAAGAGACTGCAGTGCATAACTGACTTGCTATGTGTGGACATTAACAGAGCAGGAAGTGAGCTCTGTGGCCCTCACCTGGCCCTGACAGCTCCATCCTCCTCTAACACTGTTAAGCTCTTTAGTCAAAGCAGGACCAAAGTTTATCTTCTAGAAACCAACTGACTCTTTGTCTGGCCATAAACCTTAAGAAGACAATGCTGAATCTTTTCAGAGAAAGTTAAAATTCTTATTTTTGCATTATTTTCTAGAGAGAACTACCATTTATATATTTAAAAAAAAAACAGTACTGGGAAACATTAAGCATCAGCGAGTACTAATGATGGGGAATAAGTCATTTTACTACGAAATTACACAACTGCATACAGTGCACCTGTAATTGTAAGTTTGCTTTCTACAGAAATACCTAGGAACATATTAAGATCAGAGCTTTCCAGGTACTGAGAATGCAACTGATCCAGCCTCATTTTCTACACAGGCAGAGAGGCTCATACCTTGCAGAGGCTCATCTCTCCCACAGGTTCATTCTTCACAGGAATTCTAACTGGTCTGAGCTTGTGCTGAAATACAAGATCTATCACCTGATTTCAAACTTTATTTAAAGGAGGCTAGAAACTTACCAGGGCTAGAAAGAGAGACGGACAGGCACAGGTCCTCCACAGAGGTCACCTCTGCATCTACACCACGAGGCACTTTCCTCAGTTCCGTAAGAGAAGACACTGAGCCAACTCATTCCCCACAACAGCTGCAGTTAGCTTCTAACACGCTGAGAGGTAAACATGGAGTTGCCAGCTTCTTTCCCAAGTGAAACATGAAGAGTTCTCAGGAGGTGCCATAATATCCCCTAGGGTGTGGAGTCCTCATGACCATTGGAAGTCGGGTGTAGTTCCATCATGGGTGTCAGCACATCACAAGGAGGGGCCTCTCAGTCACAACAGTACCTCTGTGTGTCTCTTGGAGGAAGCCTTACCCTCAGTGGTAAGATTTACATTTCCTTTCACAAGTGCCTCCACTTCGAGATTCTGGAGAAGCCAGACATCATGGTGGCCAGAGAAGACCCCTAGGAGAACAGATGGAGGGAAGACAGCGAGTGCACCACACCAGAACTGGTGCATCACCGGGTCTGATGGAGAACAGGAAGAGAGCAGTTAAACAGACCTCGCATTTGTTTCAAAGTGGCTAAGCCTGCGTTTGGAATCTGCACACAGAAGTCTCCAATCCCCTCAGACATGGTGCTTGCCTTCCTCCTGTGGAGGAACCAGAGCTAATAACCCAGAATCAGCATGAGATGAAGAAGACAGGGCCTCCCATCCTGCTTCCTGTGGAGGGTAGAAGCCCTATATCACACATCAACTGGGACCAGTAGTATTTCAATATAGATGTGAAACCAAATGGTTCATCCAGCCCAGAGCAGAAATTTTAATAATTGGAAAAGAGTTTGTTCGAGGGCTTAAACATGACCAAGAACTGTCAATTCTGGAACAGGGACTAGGTGGAGGAAGCAAACGATAATCAGGTTCAAAGACAACACTTAGAAGAACATAAATTGTTTCCTATATCATGTGTCAATGTCAGCCCAACCTCCTCACAGATAGTCACTTATGAAGGGGCACGTGTCCATTCAAAGAATGACGTGATTGACGGTAAACGAAGATAGCTCTCAAAATCTTGCAATTTATGTTAAAAGTCGTCATCAGTCATATCCACATCTGTTCCCAGTGCTCCTTCTCTTCACTGTCCACTGCTGTCGTCTTCACCTCTCCCCTTTATTCTGTGTTCAGGCTAGATTATTATTGAGCTCCACTATGAGTTCAGTATTGAGCTATTGAGGATACGGAGCCTCAAAGGCAGAGGGATAATGAGATCTTGGGTGAAAGCAGAGATTGCTTAATCAAAGCAAATGATTTACTTATCAGCTTAACTATTTCAAGGACTTTGATTACAAGATAAAGGCCACCAAATCTTCAAAATATTCCATATAAAGACAGGCTTGACAGCACAGGACATCTACAGTCCTGGTGCTGAGTAGGGAGGGAGGAAGACAGGATAATCCCTTGGGGTTCGCTAGCCTGCCAGTCAAACTGAATTAGTGAACTCCAGGTTCAGTGAGAGAGTCTATCTCAAAAACTTAGGGTGGGGAGTGACTGAGGACACTTGACATCAACCTCTGGCATCCACATTTCCACACGCATGTACATACAGCTTTACACACACACACACACACACACACACACACACACTATTGTATTCTATTGATGAAATATTTGAGTGGATGGCCAATGGACACTCCAAACCAACCAGTAAAAGGACGGGAAAATAAAAAACTACACACACTACTCCAACTAGGTCCTTTATTTAACTAGTTAAAACATTAGGACAGCAAAGTATATTCTGAGAGTCAAGGACCCTGGGTCTTGCTCTTAGCTCTGCGTTCACTATCTATCTGGTTAGGAATAATTATTTTGACATCCTAGAATTTCCTTTATAGTCTGTGGTCATCAGCTCTAGGCTTAAACATGTATCTCCAAGCTGTCACTTTCTGTTTTACGATCTACATATACTCTTTGGTGCTTATGTTGGATCTTTTCATGATGTTTCCAGAAGGTAAATAGATCCACTCACCTCAACCTTCCCTCTGCAACTTTCCCAAAAGACAAACTGAGTTTCAGTGTGACAGAAGTTTGGTGATTACAAGAAGACAGTGCAGGGATTCAGGGCTCTTGCTGTATTTGTTTTCAAGCATGAGCATTCAAGACATTCTTAGTATTTGCAAGGTATAAGGGTTTCTCCCTGAACGAAACATGGACCGTGTCTGTTTCTCTTCTGCTTGGCATGTGATCCCCACAGTAGCCACCAGTTAGGGAAAGGTAAATTCAATAAAGGCCATCTGAAAGATACCTACCACTGTCAAAAATATGGCCATTTTCAATGAGGCATGATCTCCTCATTTGAAGTCGCTTTTCACCAGCAGGGTGACTATTTTCAGACTGTCATGCTCTGGGTTCTGCAGGTGAGCTAGCTAAGTTCAAATGCAGTTGACATGCAGAGTCCTTTTAAACTGTCAGGCCACCTTGCAATTAGGCAGACTGCCACCTGAGCAGATGGCGTGGGTGATGCCAGGCAGCCAGCATGTGCCTCAGCATGGAGGATTCAGTGAGCTCTTCCCTCTCTCACTGGTGGCAGCTCTACCAGTAAAGCATTTCCCCTCACACGTGTATCATGAAATGATGGCCTTTGAATATGACTAGGTGTGGAGCCAGAGAATCACGGATCTAACAGATCTCAAAGTGATGAGACGCTTTAAAGTGGCAATGGAGATGGAGATCCTCTACTTGCTACTGCATTCATTCATTCATTCATTCATCATTCATCCAGCAAATACTGATCACAGTGTGAGGGCACCACCAGCCTATCTGCCCAGCCACTCGGTCACTCCACTGCCTGCCCCAGTCCAAACTCCTCTGCTCACAGAAAGCTCACTGTGTTCTATTCATAAGCCTTAATAACTAACCTGGATCACACCTTTTTACTCTACAACACCCAGACTCAGATCCACTGTTCCACTTAGAATTGTTTCCGAGTTATCACAGAATGACTGCAATGGCTTTAGGTAAACCTGCAAAGATGGTTAATGTTTCTTTAGGAAATAAGAATGTGAATCATTATTTGAGATCACCACTTCTAACTCCATTGGGTTTTATAAAATTTAATCATCTGAGAAATGCTAGCAGTGGAACAAAACCCAGGCTATTAAGCAAATGTCTTCATTGTGACTTTGTGTAGTGAGAGACTGAAGGGGCCACTGTCTCACTGTCAGATGTGAATTACACCTCAGAATGTCAATTTCCTAGTTTGATGACTTGGAACAGCTAGTTGGGGGCTCTATGGCCTCAGCTCAAAGTAGAGCCATGGCTGTAGCGTGTAACACATATATTCTTTCATTTGAGAAATCTTGTCTGTGATCATTGCATACAGGGAACCATACAAAAACACTCTATCTGAATTATGGAATATGAAGATCTGAAGATCTATTAATACATTAATACCACGTATTATATCGAGTCCTGGCAAATCAACTTGACACCTGCTTTGATACCCAGTAAATATTTACTAAATGAAGGAGAAACTTCACACACTGGGTCTGGGAGTAAACTCATAATCAGATGTAGACTTGTCTGCATCCAGAAAATACTGCAACTCTAATAGAAAAGAGCTTGGAAGAAAATTGACCCAGAGAAAGGAAAGGCAGGGCCCGGACATTGAGATCATTTGGGTGTATGCACTGTTTAACCTTACCTTGTGCAGAACTTAGAAGTGACTGAAACATTGCTTACAGGTCTGGAGGCTGAGAAGAGATAATGAATTCCATGTCTGTTCTTTAGTGGCTGTGTCTTGTATATTTCCTCAGGCCAGTGGGGTCCCTTCAGCCTCTAAGGGCAGTAATTCCATGCACAACTGTGGAGCCCTTGTGACCTGTTCACCCTGACAAAAGCCTCACATTGTCACCACCACAGGAAAGCTGCACCGGCGTTACCAGGGACTGCCCACTGCTCTCTTCTACGCATTGCCTCTGTGCTTTTTGGTACTCCAGAGTATATCCGACTATTGGATGGGAAACAGGGAATTTAGACATACTCTCCAGGGGATTTTAGTGGCCTTGACTCTGCATATGCATTGTCCTCGCCAGCCTACTGTCTCCCAGGAAAGCAGGAGTGAGAGTCAAAGCAAGCAGGGTCTTCTCAGTGGTCCTTTGGTCCGACTTCCAAGGTTATGATGACTCCTATACCAGAAGGATGCTTCCAAGTCATGCCAAATGCAAGATGCTCCACCATGGACTCCTGGAGAGTTGATTACTTGAGATGTAACACGGTGCCAGATTTCATGGTCAGACAATGCCACCATTGGAGAAAATACCAGATGTGACAGCTGAGCACAGCTGTGAGTAGATGCTGTCATCAGTGGCAGCTTCCAACACAGGCAGTTGGTCTAATAATGTCCCTGTCATTATGAACATGCATGCACAGTGAACCTTAAACGGAGGTATGGGATGGATCTCATCTCCTAAAGCAATGATGGGTTAATATCTTGGTACTTGTGATCTTGTCTGGAAAGAGAGTCAATGTAGCTATGATTAGTTAAGATGCAGGCATGATTGAATGCAGTGAGCACCCAAAACCGGTACACACGTCGGAAGAGCACCACAGCAAGGTCAAGGCAGGGAACTCCAGGGACAGGAGCAAGGCGCCAAAAGCTAGAGGAGAGTGTGCTGCAGATCATCCCCCAGCCAACTCTGCTACAACCGTGATCTCAGGCTCCAGCCTCCAGAGGTGTTAGACGAGTCAGTGGCAGAGGGCACAGCTCTTTCACTCCATGTGACAGCTGCTGAAGCATTAGTACCAATAGGCAGGGAGCATTGCTCTGATGCACAGAGTTGGGCCAGAGGAGACTGGGAGGAGCTCTCTGATAACCAAGAGATATTCTCATGTGATGCCTTAGCTCTCTTGAGACACTGAGGACTTTCGGTCTCTTAATCTGAGTGCAGATGAACCCAGAGAGAAATAGCCTAGCTATAATTTTTAGTCCCCTTTTACCAGCTGGTTTGCCTGACACAGATCCACATATATTCATGTCTCTCTCCTCGGCAGTCACCACGGGCTCTCCTTCATCTCTCTCCCTCTGCCATGTCTAATTGCTTCTGAAATCCATCAAATCTATCAGCCCAACAGCTCTAATGTCAGGACCTCTTATTCCTCCTGGTTCTGCTTTTGGGAGAATGTCACTATATCTTGACTTGGCCATTGAAATTGTTTTATAACTCTTCTCTCTAAAATCAACTTCCTGCCTCCCTCTGCCTGCCCTTCCATATGAAAATAGAGCAAATCATGCTGAAGGCTTTGTCAATCACAGGGAGTGAAGGCCCATCTCTAACTGATATGAGACAACAGGGTCCTCTTTACTTTCCAGAAGATGTAGTAGTTAGGAAGACAGGCTGCCCAACAGGAACTTAGTCTCCTACACTTTCTGACTCTGTGGCTTTAGGCCCTTCATTTAATGAGCAGA